TCATAGGGTAGGAATGGAATATCTTGGCCTCAACACATGAGTAGGTGGTTCTCTCTCAGAAATGGTAAGTTGGAAGTGTAGGTTCGTTCTGATGGCTCTCTCCATGAATGAAGAGGAGGTGGAGGGGTATATATAGCCTCCACACAAAATCTAACCGTTACACACAATTTACCAATCTCGGTGGGACCGAATCAACAAACTCGGTCAGACCGATTTAGTAAACCTAGTGACCGTTAGGATTTTCGGTGGGACCGACATGCAACTCGGTAGGACTGATATGGTTAGGGTTAGGGCATAACGTAATCTCGGTGAGACCGATTACACAAACTCGGTGGGACCGATTTTGGTAATAAGCTAACCAGAGAGTTGGTCAGGCAAACGCGATGGGACCGATTACTCAAACTCGGTGGGACCGATTTTGGTAATAAGTTAATCAGAGAGTTTGCATTGTAATCTCGGTAGTACCGATTGCACAAACTTGATGAGACCGATTTTGGTAATGGACATACAAAGAGAGATTACAATCCCATCTCGGTGAGACCGAGATCCCTATCGGTGAGACCGATTTGCCTAGGGTTTGTGGCAGTGGCTATGACATCTGAACTCGGTGGTGCCGGATAGAAAGAATCGGTGGGGCCGAGTTTGACTTTAGGTTTAGGTCATATGTGGATGTGGGAAAGTAGTTGAGGGCTTTGGAGCATATCACTAAGCACTGTGGAGCAAGAAACTCATTAAGCAACACCTTATCCCTCCTTGATAGTATTGGCTTTTCCTATAGACTCAATGTGATCTTGGATCACTAAAATATAAAATGAAGAGTCTTGAGCTTTTGAGCTTGAGCCAATCCTTTATCCCTAGCATCTTGAAGGGGTTCCACATCCTTTAGTCCATGCCACTCCATTGTTGAACTTATCTGAAACATACTAGATAAAAGTGTTAGTCAGACAAGAGATATGTTGACATTAATTACCAAAACCACCCAGGGAGCACTTGTGCTTTCACCGGGCCATCAAACCCCAGATGCCCGGCCCCTACAGCCACTTGGCTGCGGCCTCCCTGACCGGACCGGGTGCCGGGACCACTTCGATGGCCTGCGTGCCTCATTGGGTTTTCACCCTTGTACCCCCCTCCTCCTCTTATTTCGTCCCAAAACTATAAGTACCCCCCACCTAGCTCATTTGAGCAGATAGCAAAGTATTGGATAGAAAAAGAGAGAGCTTTGCTCATCTTCCTCCTCATGGAGATCATGACCTCCTAAGGGAGAAGATCCTCTTGTGGATATCAAGACCCCATCTAGGGAAGGATCCCCATCATAGGATCATCAAAACCTCTTTCCTCACATGATTGGGATGAACTAGTTCCTCGTATCTTTCCTTTGTTGTCCTTGAATCATTGTGACCTCTTGTGTGTTCTTGGATCTAGCATATGTGTGACTGGATCTAGTCAATTTGAGTGTTTTCCCTCCGTTGTGTTCTTCGTGTTCTTCGTGCTCTTGGGGATTTCCCCTCCAATTCGTGAAAGATCTCCACCTAGGGTTCCACCCTACAACATAGGGCAGCCTCCTCCGGCGTCTGCTAGGGCGGCGGCATTGCGGCTCGCCGCGCGCGCTCCTCCTCCTCAAGCCGGAGCGCCTCCGCGTCGCGTTGAAGCATCGCGTCGTAGCGCATCTCCTGCTCGCCGTCGGCCCGGTCCTGGCGGAGCCAGTGCGCGTTCGAGCGCTCAAGGTGGGCGGCCTCCTGCTCCGGCATTGCGTCGTAGTGGACAGGAGGCACGCTCACCCACTCGCGGTACTGGCCCATCCACGTGTAGGTCTCCTCCGACCAAGTGGGTGGAGGCGGGGAGTTCTTCCGCGTCGGCTCCGGCTCTGACTTGGGCTCGACAGGCGGCGACAGTGGCGGAGGCGGGACGAAGAGCGGGGTGTGGACAGAGTCCCCCGCCACCGACAAGGCAAGGGCTTGCTCCAGCCCATCCCAGTGTGTGTCCTCCTCGATCCGACTAGGCTGCAGCGCGTGCTGCAGGGCCTCCTCGAGGGCGGCTTGGTACTCCGCCTCCGCCTCCTCTTCTTCTGGCTCTACACACGGGGGCGGCGACGGAAACAGCGGCGGGACGGCGTCGACGCCTACATGCCGTTGCTCCTCGTGTTCGAGGGCAAAATAAGCCTCCAAGTTGGGAGAGTCGGCGGCGTACTCGGGCATCCACCGCTGCTCTGGCGTGAGCTGCGTGCGGCGCCTGCACACCTCCTTCTCGTGCGCCCGCTGGGTACGCGTGGCACCGGGATTCGGTGCGGATCCAGGTGCCAGTGGTGTGGCAGCGTGACGTCGGGGGGTAGGGTAGCGGCTGCCTGTACTCCCAGTGCCACCGCGCTTGGTGTACCCGGATGTGCAGGCGCTGGCGACCTGGGCGGAGACGCGCCTGCGTCGGAGGAGGAGGGGGAGGAGGAGCACTGGAGGACGAGGCGTCGGGGTTGCCCTTGCCCTTGCCCTTGTTGCTGTTGCTGCCGAAGAGGCCCATCTCTTTGCTAGGGTTTGGTGTCGCCAGCGAGGAAGCAAAGGGAGTGGTGTGGGGCCAGATGTGGACGGTCCCCGCCGCACGCGTGGTTAAAAAATGACCCTTCCACTGGCTGACTAGTGGGCCCACTGACGGTGGTCGTCATAAATAAGACGACGGACGGTCGTTGGGTGGCCTAAAGGTGGGGACGCGGCGGAAGGCAAGAAGACGCGCGGCGCGTCCGTGCCGAAACATTTCAGACGCAATTTTGGGTCGGTAATGGGTCGGCGCAGACACCAGGCGAACGAGAATTGGGTTTGGGTCGGCGCGTTGGGCCTCCACTTTTATAAGCGGACGCCAGACGAACACGATTTGGGTTTGTATCGGCGCGTTGGGCTTCACTTTTATCTACGCCAATCCAAATGAACGCAGGCGGATAAAATATGTCGCCCCATTGAAGTTGCTCTTAGGGAATGAGAGAGAGATGGAGAGAGAAATGTACCGGTAGCAGTGAGTTTTTCTCGTCTTGCGAGATGGCTCCATGGGTCAATTAGTTTAGGTCACGCCATTCAAGGATATATCTTGCAGGATGCCAGTGACAAAGTCCACCACATGTTTGCTCTTATCAGTGGCCGGTGAGCCTAACGTACTACAGAAATCAGGTGGATTCAGCCTGCACAAAATCACGTCGACTTCGATGGAGCTGGTTTCGATCCCGGGGTACGCCCAACCCAGCCATCATCATTTTTCAAAAAATCCCGCAGTCGAGCAGCAGATCTTTCGGCCAGATTAATCAGCCCGAGAGATTCTTCAAAATTTCCAGTAAGGAAACGAATCATTGGGGTGGTCGAGCAAAAATATCGCCATCACATACGCACGACGAGAAACCCTAACCTCGGCGCGCAGAAAAGCTGCAGAAATCTACACAGGGGTTCCGTCTAATCCCAAGACTTGGTTTTCTGCTTCTGTTTTTCTTTTTGGCCGGAAGAGAAGAAAGACTTTGATTGAGGCTGATCCGGCATCAGAAGGAGTATTTCACGTATCACATGTACTAACCCGATCGACTGCATCTTGAAAGGCGCCGTGCTTCACGGAGCGAGAGAGTGAGAGAGAGAAATGTACGACAGCAGCAAAAAAAAGACGGTAATTTTAGCAGTAAGTTTTTCTGTTCTCGGGAGATGGCTCGATCGGTCAATTAGTAGTAAGTCTTACCAGAGGCCGGTGTGTCTGGTCACGAAACCAATCAAACCCTCGTTGCTCCTGCACAGATTCACCTCGAAGAAAACCACGCGCAATTTGATCGGACAATATGCTGAAGGACACCAAAGCACGGAAGCACCTGATGACCTGACCCTGAAGCTAGCCATGGACGGGCCTTGCGAGAGCAGATCTTTAGGCCAGATTAATCAGCCCGAGAGATTCTTCAAAATTTCCAGTGATCTGTAAAGAAACGGAAGCGAATCATTGGGGTGATCGAGCAAGGCAAGGCACGGCCTGACCGGGTTGATGAGCGGTAGCTCCATCCTGCTCCAGCGAGCAACTGTACGCTCATCATCACAGACAGTTCCGATGCAGATCACAGGCCTCCGCTCTTTTTGTGTCTTTTCTTTTTCGGGGAAGCAGCTGGGCTGGGCTGGGCTACACTATAGAGCTGCTTTCGCGTCGCCGCTCTCGATCGGCGCACACGCGGACACACATTTCTGTCGGTAGAACGAACGGACGGGGATGCTAGCGGAGCACCAAGTCCGTCTCCGTCTGTCAGCCGAATAGAATCTAGCCATGTTCAGTCAGTGCGCTCCCTTTTCTCCTTCAGGTTTGGCCTCCGCTGGCGGTTTCAGATCGTGCGAACAATTTCGACCGTAGGAAGCGACCACAAACATGGTAGCAATAGCAGCAGCGGCAGCAGCAGTCCATGTGAGTGACACAGTGTGATCCATGTGAGAACTGCAACGGCCTCTTTCACCCCGAAGGAGCATTTCTTCACATGCCATTTTGTCTGTCACGGCCATGCTACCAGCAGCCGGCCCAAAGAAACAAGAACTGCCCGCCCATCGCGCACCACCACACCTCCAAAGCTGCAGCAGATTGGATTCAGCGCCAGCATCTGAAGGCTATATTTTAAAATTGTTTTCCCCTACTTTTTCTAAAGAGAAGATCAACTTGAAGCTCATCTGGCATGTGTACTTCACAATTATTTTGCCAGAGTCGATCTGCATCTTGAACGATTTCGCAGCTGTGATCAGCTGAGGCTTCTGGTTAGTATAATCTGAGGATCGCACGGCCAACTTGGCCTTAATCTTCCCCCCAATCCATGCGCCCCCCACTACCATCGTGTCGGTAGCCATATCAACCGGTCAACACTAACCATCCAGACTGTAATCACACAGGCCCAAAACCCTCACCTCCATCCCCATCCCCAGTTATATATCACATCACCTTCCCCTGCTTTCAGCACCCCACACTCTTGAGCTAAGCTAAGCAAGCCAGCACCTCGATCTAGCACCACTCCAGCAATGGCGTCGTCCAGGAGAGCGCTCATCCTGCTGGCGGTGGTGCTGGCGGCGGTGCCGGCGGCGCTGAGCCAGAAGACGACGGCCCCGGCGCCCGAGGCGCCCGAGACGCCAGACGCGCCGGCGGCGGGGACGACGCCCAAGGCGGCCGCCGCGCCGAACGTGACGGCGGTGCTGGAGAAGGCCGGGCAGTACACCAAGTTCATCCGGCTGATGGCGTCGACGCAGCAGGACACGCAGCTGAACGCGCAGGCCAACGACTCCGACACGGGCTTCACGGTGTTCGCCCCCACCGACAACGCCTTCAACAGCCTCAAGCCGGGCACCCTCAACTCGCTCTCGCAGCAGGACCAGGTGACGCTCGTGCAGGCCCACATCGTCCCCACCTTCTACTCCATGGAGTCCTTCGAGACCGCCAGCAACCCCGTCCGCACCCAGGCCTCCGGCACCGACGGGCCCTGCACCGTCAACGTCACCGCCACCAGCAACAGCGCCGTCAACGTCTCCACCGGGATCGTCCACACCACCGTCGGCACTGCGCTGCGCGCCACCAGGCCGCTCGCCGTCTACTCCGTCGACAAGGTGCTGCTGCCCATGGACCTCTTCGGCCCCAAGCCGCCGGCCTCCGCGCCCCCGGCCCCCGGCAAGAAGCCCTCGTCGGCCAAGGGGGCAGCCAAGGCGCCCTCGGGCGACGACGAGGACGAGGAGGAGGCCCCGCCCGCCGGAGCCGCCGCAGCCGTCGGCGCCGGCTGGAGGAGCCTCGCCGCCGTGGTGGCCGCCGCCGCCGCCGCCGCGTGCCTCTTGTAAGAAGAAGAAAGTGCGAGAGAGGATCATGATTCGTGAGACCGACAGATCGATGGAGACTAGCTGCGTGCATGTTGTGCATGGATTTGGATAGGTTACTAGTTCTTGCATTAGTGGCTGCTTCTTCTCTCTCTTTTTTTGTTAAATGTCCATTTTTGTTCTCTTTCTTTTCCTCCCCTGTTGATGGGCTAAGATGTGATAAGATGTTCCACTGTTGAATCACGGCGTTAATTTGTTGGATGATTAAATTGCACTGCTATATTTGATCTTGGCTAGTTCACTAGCAGCTAAGTTATCTTCTAAACACTCATCGTACATGTATATGTACAGTTGTACACAGAATCCAGTTGTCGGTGGTGAAAACGAACACTTAATACTCCCACGGGGCAACATGTTTCTGTTGTTGAAAAAGTGAAGCCACGAGTAGATCTTCCATCGATCTGAAAGACTGTAAAGGAAAATGAGATTTGATGCTGCTATTTTTTTTAGAGAGAAGAAACTTTTTTAGGGCAACTTGGTGTCAGTAGTTGTTTTTTTAGAGCAACTTGGTGTCAGTAGCTGACTAGATGGATCTGAGCATTTATCAATCCAGATACTCCAGCAGGAACTGGACAAACTAAGCCTGGTTGTATCTGGATCAGAAGATGGGCTTGGTCTGGGCCCTGTCTTATGGTGGTTGGATCCTGTGTGTGACCAATGAATTCTATCACGGGCTAGCTCTCTTATTTTCTTTTCTGCAAAAATAACGGGCTAGCTCAGCCAGGCCTCCTAGTGTAAATGCAGCTACAGTCCTCCTAGTGTAACAGAGCTGTAAAGGATGGGCTTCCACTAAATAGACGGACACACCTGAGGCCATGCTCCACTCAAAAAAAAAACACAAACCCTGAGGCCATGTTTTCCTCAAAACGAAAAAAACCCTAAAGGCATGTACCAATGGTACTCCATCTGTCCAGGTTTATTAGACTCCCTCTTATTTTGAGCTAAATTTTGATCTATAAATTTAACTAACAAAATGCAAACTACATGTCATAAAAATTTTATTATCGGAAAGCTCTTTCAAATACAAACCTATCGGTATAATTTTTAATAATATATACTTTATATTTTAGCAGTTTATTGATGGTCAAAGTATGACGCAAAATACAAAGGGGCCCAATAAATCCGGACGGAGGTAGTACTATCTTAGGAGTGACATATCGGGAAAATATTAAGGTGGAGAAGAGGGAAATCTTAAGAAAATGTGTTCTTCTTTTATTTAAGAGATGATCTCTTAACACAATATGTCTCACCACATTTTTAAAAATTCTAGTTGTTAAAGATAAGACTAAAAGATAACCCCTTGTAGACATATTTTTATTATCATCTCTAAATTCATGGAAGGCTTAAGATAAGACTGCTTTATCAACCACTGGACATGCCCTAACAAAAAACTAAATTAACGGTCCAAATTTTCCATCAAATAAATCAACCCCCACCCCACCAAAGACACTCTCTGACTTCGGCGTCTTCCATGGCATCGGGTGGCTGTGGGGGAGCTTCGATCTAGGTTGGAGTGGTATACATAGGTACATTAGGTTGTCTAAGGAAGGGAATTGAGACGGTGACGACGTCCTCTTTGACGAAAAGTCCTCTCCATTTCGGCGGTGTACCTTCTGCAATAACACGCATGGAGATTGTCCTTGATGGTTGGATCTTCAATTTGACCGTATGATGTGCTGGTTTCTTCTCAGATGGAGTTTCTATCAATGTGGAAGGAGGTGCATGTGTTCCTTTGCAAGACATGCATAGTTATTCTTCTTTCTCGACGGCAGCAAGCGGTGGCTTCCTTCCTCGTCACAACAAGGTGTGCTCATCGACATCAAAATCAAACAACTCGGGTGGTTCATGTGTTTCAAAAACTGCAAGGAGGATTCCCTGGGCCTCGTGTAGGCGCTGATGGATCCTTTATATGTCAAGTGTGTGCTGGTGTCGCCGACGGTTGCCTGTGTGTGAGGGGGGTTGTGTTTTTCTGTCTTGCAGGGTCTTGTTTGTAAAATTGCAGCTACTATTTTATTATCTAAGAAAAGCATTTGATTTTTTAAGGTAACTTATTTCTATAAAGCGAATATACTAATATAGAGAAGATATCAGTTACAACTTAGCACCAACATGACTGAAGAGCTACTCAAAACATCAAAGATGCACATAGCCAAGCTATTTCGAAACAACAACAACAACAACAACAA